TTCTTGGCCAAAAAGCTGAAGGAGCAGGCAAAGGAGCTGGATATCAAGTAGGGACAGTGGGGTTGCCCCAGGGCTTCAGCCTCCTGGGATGGGTCTGCCACCAGGAGGGGTGGTCTGAGCTCCTTCCTTCTGGCAGCCTGAGCTCCGGGGAAGAGGAGGAAGGCAAAGAGGAGGAGAGAAAGGAGAAGAAGGCATCGCCAGGAGCCGTGACTGATGAGGTGGTGAAAGAGGAAGAGGAGGAGGTAGAGCTGGCCTTGGCGGAGATGAAGGCCAAGGAGCTGGCAGAGTTAAAGAGGTAAAAAGATCTCACACAAGGAGGGATGGGGGAGCACGGGAGGCTCCAGCCATGGGCACAGGAGGTGGTAGTGTCGGACCCTGACCCTCTGCTGACAGCAGGTGGGGTTTGTGGGTCTGGGGTCCTCAGGGTTATCTGCTCCTCCAAGCAGGTGAAGCAGTTGTTCGAGCTGGCACAGGCCCCATTTGTCCCCACTGGGGACCCCTCACAGGGAGATGTGTCATTGATGTGCCACTGGCTGAGCCACTGGGATGTGGAAGGGGCTGGGGAGGGCAGGCAGAGTGTAGCCTTATTCCTTTGTCTCCTCTAGAAAGAAGAAGAAGATCCTGAAGGAACAGCGGAAGCAGCGTGAGCGTGTGGAGCTGAAGATGGACCTCCCTGGTGTCTCCATTGCTGACGATGGGGACACCAGCATGTTCTCCCTCAAGACTATCCACAGGACCCCGGTGTGTGGGGCAGGGGGAGGCCAGGCTCCCCGAGCTATAGGGGCTGGGACAGTGGCGGGCAGGTGGCTGATGGACCACAGCTTCTGACTTGTTTTACGTGTGTTGCAGCTGCTGAACGAGGTGACCCGGGGGGACATGGCATCAGCAGATGCCCTCCTGGAGATTGGGCCTGGGGACGATGACATTTATGTCTCTGATCAAGAAGGAGAGGACGATGTGTCCCTGGCTAGTGACCTGGACCCGGAGGAGCTGGTTGAGATCGAGGCCCGGCAGCGCCGGCTGGAGCGGGAGAGGCGAGAGCAGGGTGCACAGAGGTGAGGGCAGGAGAGGCCTCCCCGGGCAGAGGCTTCCTCTGAAGCTCCAGGATCCGGCAGTGGGTACTCCCCAGCTTGGCTGGGGGGACTCTGATCCTGGTGCTGCCTCGTAACAGGGTGAAGTTTAGGCAGAAGGAAGATGAGGAGGAAGGGGAGGAAGAGCAGAATCCCCTGCTGGTACCCCTGGAGGAGAAGGCGGTGCTGGAGGAGCGACAGACCAGCCTGTGGTTTGGGAAGGTGAGTCCTGCTGGGCCCACAACCGCAGGCTCAGCCCAGCAGCTTCCCTGTGTCCCCTGACCTGCTGCTCCCCATCCCCAGGATGCCTTTGCTGGCATTGAAGATGATGCAGATGAGGAGCTGGAGCTGGGGCAGTCCCAGATGCTGGCTGAGAAACAGCGCGAGTCTCAGAAAGGTTAGTGAGGGCTGGGGGGGCACAGAGGGACAGCCCCAAGGCCCAGGCTGGGGCACTGGGTCAGCCCCTGGTGGAGATCCAGCTCTGAGCATGGCTGGGGATCTCCAGAGGTTGTTTCCAACCTGTGTCATTACACAGGGAGCTGGGTGTCCAGAGGAATGGTCTGCAGGGGAGGTTGTCTCAGCCCTTTCTCACTCAGTGGTTCCTGTTCCCCAGACAAAGCAACGAGGAAGGAGCAGAAGAAGAAGGTGCCCCAGGAGGAAGCTCCAGCTGAGCCCCTGCCTGCCACAGACACAGGACCTGATACTGGTAAAGTGCAGGATGAGCAGAGCAGTGACGATGACAGTAGCAGCGATGAGGAGAGGTGAGGCCTGGGAGAGGGATGGTCTTGGATGTCCTCCTGCAGCTCCACAGTGCTGGAGAGCTGGGAGATGAGGGGAGCCCCCCAGCCCTGACCACTTTGCTCTCTGCAGGCCGCCAACACCAGTAGGGAGGAAACGGGGCCGTCCTGAGCCATGTGGCTTTGAGGTGGTGCCCATTGAGAACCCAGGTGAGTGCTGGAGGCTCCTGGAGCTGGGTGTGCCCAGTGATAACTGTGCGAGTCCCTCTTCAGGGACTGGAGGTAGAGTCACCCCAGGTTTTCCCAGGCTGGTAGGGCTGCTTGTAGATAGGCTAAGCTTTAACCTGGCTACATGTTGCAGTGAAAAGAGCCCGTGTCCTGGATGCAGAGGGCTTGGCCCTCGGCTCTGTCATCGCCACCTCTAAGAAGGCCAAGCGGGACTTGATTGATGACTCCTTCAACAGGTACTTGGTTTACCAAGAGGGGTCACAGGCAGGTGTACTGGGGGGAGACTCCATGTCCTCACCGAGTCCCCCTGCCCTAGGTATTCATTCAACGAGGATGAGGGCGAGCTGCCGACGTGGTTCACGGAGGAGGAGCAGCAGCACCGGCGCCGGCAGGTCCCAGTGGACCGGCAGACGGTGGAGGCCTATCGGCAGCGCTGGCGCGAGATCAACGCCCGCCCCATCAAGAAGGTGGCAGAGGCCAAAGCCCGCAAGAAGCGGCGGGTGAGTGGGGCTGTGGAGCTGAGCGGGGCCCCGTCCCCCCCATCCTGGGTGCTCCGTCCCTCTTCACATCCCCCTTGTCCCCGTCTCTCGCTGTCCCCACAGATGCTGAAGAAGATGGAGCAGATGAAGAAGAAAGCGGAGGCTGTGGTGAGCACAGTGGATATCT